TGATCCTATTCCTAGATAAGGTCACATTCCAAAGTACTAGGGGTTAGGACTTCAACATCGGAACTCTTGGGGGACACAATTCAACCTATAACCTACTGCTCATGTTCAGTTTAAAGATGTAATAATAGGGGTGCCTGGGTGGCTCAGTTGATTAGGCGACTGCCTTCGGCTCAGGTCACGATCCTGGAGTCCCGGGATCGAGTCCCGCATCGGGCTCCCTGCTCAGCGGGGAGTCTGCTTCTCCCTCTGACCCTCTTCCCTCTCGTGCTCTCTATCTCTCATTCTCTCTCTCTCAAATAAATAAATAAAATTTTAAAAAAAATAAAGATGTAATAATAAAATAAACACAAATGGAGCCACCACTCAGCTTAGAGAAATGGGAGATTGCAGGGTACCTGGCTGGCTCAGTCGGTAGAGCCTGCGACTCTTGACCTTGGGGCTGTGAGTTCAAGCCCCATGTTAGGTATAGAGATCACTTAAAATAAAATAAGAAAATCTTTTTTAAAAAAGAGAAATAAATAAGAGAGTAAACATTTTTTAGGGGCACCTGGCTGGCTTAGTAGAACACGCGACTCTTGATCTCGAGGTTGGGAGTTCAAGTCCCACGTTGGGTGTAGAGCCTACGTAAAAAAAAAAAAATGGGGGGAGGACACCTGGGTGGCTCAGTGTTAAGCGTCTGCCTTCGGCTCAGGTCATGATCCCAGGGTCCTGGGATCGAGCCCTGCAACGGGCTCCCTGCCCAGCGGGAAGCCTGCTTCTCCCTCTCCCTCTGCCTGCTGCTCCCCTTGCTTGTGCTCGCTCTCTCTCTCTCTCTCTCTCTGTCAAATAAATAAATAAATAAATAATCTTAAAAAAAAAAAAATCACGCGTCTTCCATTTTACAGAGGAGAAAACGGAAGGGTTTTACTGCAAGGGGAGGCACCTGACTCAAGTGGCACAATTAAGTGGCAGAGGGGAAACTGGAAATTAGATTATCTGTTTCCAGAGCCTCCTACTCTCTTCTGACTCGGGCAGACCTCCCATGTCCATCCAGATCCCCTCTGTCACTGAGTGTCGCCGTGACGCCGGCAACCGTCAGCGCAGCATCCCCTGTGCCTGGCAGGGTGCTCACCTGCCTGAGCTCAGTGAGGCCGCACCACATCCAGTCAGCTTGGCACGAGGGCTAACCCCATTTTACAGAGCAGATAACTGAGGCTCGAGGAGGCTCAGTACACTTGCCCAAGGTCACAGAACTAGAAAGGACAGAGACCACTCACACCAGGTTCCTCTGCCCCGGGGGGGGGGGGGGCCATGCTGGCGCTAGCGGGAGCACCGAAGTTTGCAGAGAGCGCCACCATCCAGGGAGGGCTCTTCCTTAGCGTCTACAATCCAGCGGAGACCCCAGAAGGGAGACAGAAATCTCCTTGAATCGGCAAAACAGTTGGCAAAAAGGCAATGCTCCAAAGCTACTGCCATTTGCTCTTAGGAAAGCCCTTGTCTCTCGGTTTGCAAACAAATGTACCAACCTTGGGGGGTGGGGCAGAGCAGAGCAAAAGCAGTCCCCCAAGAGGGAGCTGTAGGAGAGGTGGTTCCTGCCCACGGGCCCCCATCCCAACTTTCTCGCTTTCCCTCAGTTATCCATGCCTCCCCCAAGCACTGGCCGTGCCTCAGGGCAAGGCTTCCCAACATTTTCATAGCAGGGCACACATAGAAAACCAAAACATTTGCACAGCATCTGAGTCACACGGAGGGTATTGGGAGATATTTGGAAGTCTTGATGAAAATTTCAGAACACATGCTTCATAACATGTTAGGATTAGAAACTGTATAACATATTAGGGAAGGTGTTAAAGTTCGGTTTTGTATAAAACTTCCAAATAAAACATCATACCCGTTAAGAGAAGACACAAGAGGCCACACTCATAGTGTATGAGTCCGTCCGGACAACAGGGTGGAAACAGCACAACCATCGGGGCAGAAACCGGATCTGTGGTTTCCAGGGGCTAGGGTGGGAGAAGGGTGCTGACTGTAGGCTGGCGTGGGGGAACTGGGGTATATATTCCACGTCGCCATTGTGGTGGTGGTGGCTGGGCTGTTGACATTTGTCAGAAATCATCAAAGTCAATTTCACTGTGTGTCGATTTAGTGGGAGTTCCTGGAGCTGTCCGCTCCTCAGAATCACCTTGGGTGGGAAGTTCAGAAAGCCAGGCCTCACCCACAACCTACTGAATCAGAACCTGGCTGGGGGGGAACGTGAGGGGTCAGTAATGTGCATTTTAACAAGCTCCCCAGGTAACGGGGCGGCGGGGTGGTTTGCAGTGTGTGGTTTGGGGCCAAGGCTTCTGGGTCAGGACAGGATTCCAAGCTTCTATCTCCGGCCCAGACTTGAACCCTGAATCCCAGGCTCATACATCAACGTCCACCTGCTCTCTGCCCCCGGATCCTCAGCCAGCCCCACCCATAGTCTTCTCCAATTGATGGCAGCTCCATTCCTCCAGAATTTGAGGCCACAAACTTTGACATCATCCCCCATTCCTCTCTCTTGTTTTTTTGTGTTTTTTTGTCTTGTCATTTAGTTTTTATTTCACAACTTAACTCCTATGTCCAGCTGGACTGGGAGGGGGATAAGGAACATGTGGAACCCAAAGATCTACTGTGAGACCACGAAGACCATAGGACTCTGCGGGCAGATGGGGAGAGGGGTGCCCTCCCGAGATAAAGCACAAGCCAATTTATTAGCGCTGTCCGGAGACAATCCTGGTGACCTGGCTGGTCTTGCCATTCCTGGATCCAGAGCGCTCCACAGTGTCTGCGTCCTCTTTCACCTTGCCAAAGACCACAGGCTCACCATCCAGCTGCTCACGCTTGGCAGCCCAGATGAAAAACTGGGCACCATTTGTGTTGGGCCCAGCATTGACCATGGACCAGATGCCAGGACCCGTGTGCTTTGGGTTAAAAATTCTCATCATCAAACTTCTCCCTGTGGATGGACTTGCCCCCAGTACCTTCATGGCATGGGTCGTCACCACCCTGGCACAGAAATCCGCGAATCCTTCTGGGAAAGCAGGAGCCAAACCCTTCCTCCCGTCCTCAGAGCACGCAAGTTTGCTGCTGTCTTGGGAACTTTGTCTTCAAACAACTGGAAGGCGGTGCTGCCCAGCAGCTCAAGAGTACGGTGGGGTTGACCATAGCTGGGCAGCGCAGGGAGGCTCTGGGTGGCGGGGTCAGCATCTGCAAAGCCTCCTGTCCTGCTCTAGAAATTCTGTCGGCTCTGCCTTCTCACTGCCCCGCTGCCAGCAAACACCCTGGTCTGGGGCACCATTGTCTCACCTGGATTATTACAATGGGTTCCTAACGTCTCTCCTTCTCTCTCCCCTGGGCTGACCTACAGTTTATTCTCAGTACTATAGCCAGGGTGCTTATGTTAAAATAACTTAGATCAAGTCATTTCTCGGCCTCAAACTCTCTGGGGGCTACCCGTTCCAGAGTAAAAGACAGAATGTCCTCCAAGGCCCTCGTTGCTCCGGCCCTGACCTTGGCTCCATCATCTATCTCCAGGCCCTCCAGGCCTTGCTCACTCGGCTCCAGCCACACTGGCCTCCTTGCTGTCTTTTGAACCCGCCAGTCCTGCTCCTGCCTCAGGACCTTTGCATGTGCTGTTCCCTTGGTCTGGAATGGGCTTCCTTCAGTTATCCCCACAGCCTACCCCCTCACCTCCGAGTCTTTGTTCAGATGTTCTCAAACCATACTTGATGTCTCCTTCCTCATTTGGCTCTTTAGCATCTACCACTCTAATATTTGCTTATTTATTTCTGTCTATCTCCCTCCTAGAATGTCAGCTGCACCAGGTCAGGGATTTGGGGGGCACTTTTATTCACTGCTGTATCCCTAATGCCTAAACCTGGCCCATAGGATGGGCTCAATAAGTGGTTGTTTTAATGAGTGAAGGGGACACCGGAAGCCTAGAGAGAAGGGACTTGCACAAGGTCATCGCCATCCGAAATCAATGGCTCTTCACTCTTGGAACTAACAAAGCACCCGTCCGATACCTTTGACCCAAAGTCCTTCTCCCAGCCATGCCAGGTCCCGGGACCAAAGCCAGGCCAGCAGGACCTCATCCCCAGGACAGAAGCAAGGGATATCCCAGCCTCAGGGGGTGCCTGTCCAACTCTGCCAGGACCCTGGGTCTTGTGCAACCAAGTCAAGGGGCTGCCCTGGGAGGGGGCTCCTCTGAAGAAGGAAGCCTAGACATGCCCGTGCCACAGTCTTGTGCTGGTGGAGGCCAAGGCCAGGAGCCACCTCCCTACACCCTCCAGCTGCCTGAGTTCAGGCACTGGAGACAGTAACTGGGCCCAGAAGCCGAACCCAATGGAGGCGGGATGGAGAGGGAAGACCAGCAGGTCCCCAGCAAGAGAGCCGGAAAACGTGGAGCTGCTGTAGGTAGCCCGCCAGCACAGGGGGCTCCTTCCAAATGCCCGAGGCTCCCTTTCCCCTTGCGGTCCCACACCAGCAGAAGGCGCCCCGGCCCACAAGGTCCATGTTCTGCTTTCTTTCGCCCTCTGGTGGCCACACGGGTTAGGGCCAGAGGGGAGCCTTGCATCCATCTACCCCGTCTCCCTCCAGCGAAGGGTTGCACCCTCACAAGTGAAGATTCCAAGAGGAGGAGGCTCAGCAGCCCTGGGTCTGGGCCCACCCTACCCAGCAAGGTGAGGCTGGTGATGCCCAGGACAGCCCCAGTGGGTGAGCATTTATCGCGGGCTGGGCTCCGGGCCAGGCCATTCTATACCCACCTAGCCCCTGAGATGCTTCTCTTCCTCGAAAACTTCACCACCAAGCAGACCAAGACCCAGGGAGGGATGGCATCCATCCAAGATCACCTAGCAAGGAGATGGTGATGCCAGGTCGGCCTGACTCCTCCCCCAGGCTGCCCTCCCCTCTCTGTCTCTCCAAGGGCTCATCCATAGATCAGGAGCCCTTCCCTCCCAGTCCTCGTGACACAGAAAGAGGCTCCTCCAGGAGTTAAAAATATAAAGTGCAAATACCAGCTGGCTTTTACTGAGGGCTTACTATGTGCTGGGCACCAGGTCTGCCAGGGCCCTCCTCCCACCTCCCTGCACTTCCCAGTGGCCAGGGGGAGAGGATGGGCCCAGGCAGCTGAGACCCAGGTGTCGAGTGGGGAGGGGGCTGAGGTGGAGGTAGAAGGTGGTGGAGGGGCCCCAGCAGTTGGGTCCGCGGAGAGGGCAGGGCTCCTGGTGTCTGTCCAGCTTGAAACCAAAGGCTGGGGTGCCCCCCTCCCTCCCTCCACCCCAGGCCCTGAGTCAGGCCGGGCAGGGTGAGAGGGCCTGTGAGCCCTGCCTTTTCTCTACATGACCTTCAGGGAAGGGGACCCATCTCAGAGTGGTTTCTCCTGATGCAAGACGGGGCCAGAGGGCAGAGTGGCCATGGCTAAGGTGACAGTCGGGTCTCTGTGGGGTCTGTGGCTCTTGGTGGTGGTTCCTGCAGCTATTTCCAACCTCCTCCCTGGCCAGCTACAGCCTGCTCCTGGGTGTTCCTCTGGAGTCACCGCCTGGCCCTGGTGGGACAGAAAAGGCAAGAAAGAAAGAGAAAGAACTAGAGCTGGATATCCAGAGGCATCCGACAGAAAAAGAGACAGGGTGTCTGGGTGGCTCAGTCAGTTATGCATCTGCCTTCGGCTCAGGCCATGATCCCAGGGTCCTGGGATCGAGTCCCGCGTCAGGCTCCCTGCTCGGTGGAGAGTCTGCTTCTCCCTCTGACCCTACCCCCTCTCATGTGCTCTCTCTCTCTCTCTCTCATTCTCTCTGTCTCAAATAAATAAATAAATCTTTAAAAAAAAAAGATTTTACTTATTTATTTGACAGAGAGAGACAGTGAGAGCAGGAACACAAGCAGGGGGAGTGGGAGAGGGAGAAGCAGGCTTCCCACCGAGCAGGGAGCCCGATGCGGGACTCGATCCCAGGACCCCGGGATCATGACCCGAGCCGAAGGCAGACGCCCAACGACTGAGCCACCCAGGCGCCCTCAAATAAATAAAATCTTAAAAAAAGAAAAAGAAAAAGACACAGAGAAGATCCGAGAGACACAGATAGGCAGAGAGAGAGAAAAAGCTTAAGATAGAGAAATGCAGGGAGCCACAGAGAGAGAGCACAGAGCACAGCCAGAGAGAGAGAGGAGAGAAGGCAGGCTGAGAAGGGGGCAAGAGAGACCCAGACCTAGCCCAGAAGGGAGAGCAAACCGAGGCGCACGGGGTTGGGGTCCTCCTCCCGGGCCCACCCTCACCTAGAGCTCATCCCGGGGGTGGAGGCTGTGCCCACTGCTGCCAGGCAGGTCCAGGCGGGGGCCACGCAGGGTCTTGTGAGAGCCACTCCAGCTGATGATGCGGCCACTGTCATCATCCCAGGGCGAGGATGTCTCCGTGTCGCTGAGCCACTCAGCGTCCCCTGCATAGTGGGTGGGGGCAGCGAGCAAGGGCCGGGCGGAGAAGGCATGCAGGTCCCTCGGCCAGAAGTGCGCCTTGTAGTGCTCACTATGAGGCAGGGGCAAGGCTCAGGAGGGCTGAGGTGGGTCCCGCCAGCCACACCGCACGCCCGCCTGGAGCCGGACACCTCACCTGCCCGAAGCACCTCACCTCACTGCCCTCCCCCTCAAGACTGCACAACAAACTCAAGAAGCAGGGTCTCTATTCTCCCCATTTTCCAGATGGGGAAACTGAGGCTCACAACAGGGACGTGGCTTGACTAAGAACCACACGGGCAGCCCAGAATTCACACCTAGGTTGGCCTGACTCCAGGGCCAGGCTGGGCTACTCCTTGGCGACCTTGAAGAAGTGACTCAGCCTCAGTCTCCCCGGCTGCCCTCGCCAAGGTGGGCTCCCTGGATGAGCTGACCCTGCCCAGCCCCCATCTAAGACTCACTTGGGGTGCCGGTCAAACATGATGGGCAGGAACTCGTCCACAGGCAGCATTCGGCGCAGGGGTTGGGAGGCCAGCAGCTTGCGAGCACCTGCCAGACTCAAGACATAGGCCAGGGTCCAGTAGGAGTATCCGGCCACCACCAGATGTGGCAGCCCATCCACGGCGGCCTCCTCCTCGGGGTTCACCTGCTTCCGGCCCAGGTAGCTGCGGGTGACAGCGAGGGCAACCAGGAGTCACTGCAGGTCCTGTGGTGTCCAAGGACCCCTTCCCCAATCACAGACCAGGCTCAGCGGGAGGACTGGCCAGGCTCCCAGCAGGAGAAGGCAGAGCCCCAGAGCCCCCCCACCGTGCACCATCCCACAGGCGCAGGCTGCCTACATTAGGTCCCATGGCAACTTCTCTGCCTCCACCTCCTCCATCAGCCGCTCCAGTCGCCCCCTGAAGTTGCTCTCAAAGCGCACGTCGTCCTCAAACACCAGGACCTGGGCCAGGCCCCTGGCAACCACCTGCAATAATGGGGTAGGGGGGGGAGCGAAACACAACATGGGGGAGGCTCTTTAGATTCAGGCGGTCCCCTTCCACCTGCCTGACAGACTCTCCCTGGCCTCCGTTATATGCCAAAGGCTCAGCCCTGGCCACGTCACTCAGCAGCTCCAAAGCCTGCTAGGGCTCCCACCGCTTGGGGACTGAAGTCCCAACATCTGGCTCTGGCAGTCAAGGTCCTCCAGGCCCCCAGTCTAGCTCTCCAAGTAGACTCTGATGGCAATCATAACCTTTGCTGCATTCACTGGGTGCAGCTATATATCTGTGGGGCCCTCAGGAGGCAGGACACACGATGTCCCCGTACTGCAGTAAGGAGACTCCAGGCCCAGCTCCTCACTTGGCCTCCTAAGCTGTCCTCAAGGAAGCTGGGCTGGCTGGAGGTGGGGGAAGACCCCAGCCCCCACGATCCCTAAGAGAAAGTTTGTTTGTTTTTTTTTTAAGATTTTATTTACTTATTTGACAGAGAGAGACACAGTGAGAGAGGGAACACAAGCAGCGGGAGTGGGAGAGGGAGAAGCAGGCTTCCCGCTGAGCAGAGAGCCCGCTGTGGGGCTCAATCCCAGGACCCTGGGATCACGACCCGAGCCGAAGGCAGACGCTCAACAACTGAGCCACCCAGGTGCCCCTAGAGAAAGTTATTTTCGTAACTTCTGGAAATGTGAGAAGAACATGAAATCAGCTCAGTAAACGGTGAAATGGAAGTCATCCTTCAAACTGTTCAGGGACCGTAGAAGATGGGGCGCCTGGCTGGCTCAGTCGGTTAAGGGTCTGCCTTCGGCTCAGGTCATGATCCCGGGGTCCTGGGATCGAGCCCCGCATCGGGTTCCCTGCTCGGCAGGAGACTGTTTCTCCCTCTCCCTCTGCCTGCAGCTCTGCCTGCTTATGCTTTCTCTCTCTCTCTCTGTCTGTCAAGTAAATAAATAAAATCTTAAAAAAAAAAAAAGAAGAGGGGCGCCTGGGTGGCTCAGTTGGTTAAGCGACTGCCTTCGGCTCAGGTCATGATCCTGGAGTCCCGGGATCGAGTCCCGCATCGGGCTCCCTGCTCGGCGGGGAGTCTGCTTCTCCCTCTGACCCTCTTCCCTCTCGTGCTCTCTATCTCTCATTCTCTCTCTCTCTCAAATAAATAAATAAAATCTTAAAAAAAAAGAAAGAAAGAAAGAAAGAAAGAAAAGAAAGAAAGAAAGAAAGAAAAACAGTAGAAGATAAACAGAAACATAAGCTCATGTGCTTATATTTTGGTTATGGTGGAAAATAAAAACAAGGAGTGGGTCTGGGTGCTGCCTCCTGGAGGGGGCGCCCGCCCCTTGGAGGGCCAGTCCCCTGGTCCCTCCTGCAGTGGCCAGGCGGTGACCTCTCACTGGCGCTCACCTGCCCCCCAAGCCCTGAGCTGAGGCTTCTGGGCCAAGCCCCAGGCCTTTCTTCTTCCCCCCCGCCCCCCGCCGCCAAACACACAGCTCCGGTCTGCCTCAGAGCCTTTGCCCCACCGTTTTCCTCTGCCCGGAAGGCTCTTCTCGCTGCCCCTCGGTGGTGAGGCCCACCCTGGTCCCACACCAGGCCAGGAATGCAAGCCAGCCCACACTCCAGGACAGTCTGTACATCTCCCCTCCACGGCTAGCTTGCTTCTTCCCGGTTTCTGTGCCCCACTCTGGTCCCTGAGCCCCAGAAGGGTGAGAGGGGCCTTTTCCTTGTTCGCCTCTGTATTCTCAGCACAAGATCCCCCAGCACACAGGATGGGCTCCGAAGAGACTACAGTATGAATACGGCACAGGGTTGAATGCATAGGAGGTTTAAAGCTACCGGTCAGGTCTTCCTTAATATATCCATTCACCCACTGGTTCCCCTGGGTGCTGAGCACAGAGCAGCGAATAGGGTGCCCCCCCACCCACTGCTCTCCCTGCGGGAGTGGCGTCCTCACCTCCTCCCAGATGGAGTAGTGGCTGAGGAAACAGCCCACCTCGCCCTTGGTCAGTGTGCGGCCCGAGTAGGGGTCCTGGTAGCCAGGGAGCAGGTCCACGCCGAGGCTCCTCATGATACTGGTGTTGAGTGTCCTGAGGGAGACAGGTATCATGGGGCGAGGGGTGCCTGGCCTGTGCCTGCTGGGGGCAGTCACACTGGAGTTTAATTTAAAGGTGTCAACCTCGTTACTGCTTCATGTGGCCTGAAGACGTTGGTGACAACCCAGGGAACCAGAGCCACCTAAGGCCGGGGTGACCCTCGAGGGAGGCAATAGAAGCATGGGGAGATGGGCAGCAGCCTGAGGGGCATGCTCCCCAGAATGAACGTAGGGGGACACGGCATCTGCTTCTCAGGCAGAGGCCTGAGAAGAGGATGAACATCCTACTGTTGAAAGGGCTGGGGGCACAAGGGGCCAAGGGCCGTGGGCAAGCACAGCCATGTGACCTCTGGTTCCCCAGGGCTACAGGACTGGCCCCTGCCCCCACCCCCACCCATCAGGGCCCCGAGTCCAAGACAGAGAAGAGTAAGCCTGATAATAATAAAGACACCTAACCTTTGGAATACTTCCTCTGTGTCAGGCCCTGGCTAAGTCCTCACCGAGCCCTTAGAAGTCCTAAGAGGAAGGCACAATTAACTGCCATTCACACAGCAGGGCTGGGAGGTGGCGGTGACTTGCCGGAGGTCACCCAGCTGGTAAGTGGCAGAGCTGGAACGCAAGCCTGGGGGCTCCTGATTCTGGGCCTTAACCGACGGCTCTCCTGTGCTCTCCTCCCTCCGGTAGGCCCTGGGGCTCTCTAAAGACAGAATCACTCAGGCCCTGTTTGATCACCTCCTGGAACAGCAAACTCATTCCACTCATTTGTCCGCTCTTCCCAATCCCAGGGAGCTCCAGTGGGCCACACTGCTCCCCTAGCTGCCCAGGGCCCCGCCCCCGGGGAGCCTCACCGGCCGTCCACAGCATCCACCACCCGCCCAGAAATCTCCATCTCCCAGAGCGAGCTTAGCATGCGCTCACGGCGGTCGGGCCGGCGGGCCAGGCTGATGACAAACACCTAGAGGAGGCAGGGAAGGTGGGTGCGGGAGGGGTGGGTGTAGCGGGAGGGGAGAGCCCACCCACTTCCTGACCCCAATTCTGCGGGCTGAGGGAACTTACCTCATCAAACCCCATCTTGCTGGGTCGTTTGGGGGGCCGGGACACATGCGCTGAGGCCCACATGGGGGGCCCGTCCACTGCAGAGGAAAGTACCCCCCATCATGAATCCCTACAGACTGTTGTCAGCAGTGACCCTGGAGTCCCAGCCCCGCCCCCACCCTTGCCCCCTTGGAACACCCAGGAGGAAGGGCCGTCAAGAGATTATAGGATCCACCTGCTTCCATCATAGAGCTGGGGACACTGAGGCTCAGCGGGGAAAAGGGCTTGCCCAGAGTCAGGGAGTAAGTTAGACGTTGAGGCTGGGACCCCAAGCCCACTGCCCAGTCAGGTCCGGGGCCTGGGAGAAGGGGCCCAGGTGGTGGGAGGCTAGCATGGCAGCAGGCTAGTGAGCTGGCTCCCAGCCCTCACCTAGTGCTTCCAAGATCAGGTGGATGAAGTTGACCCTCTCATCCTCCAGGCCCTGGTGGGATTTCACGGGCACATTCATGTACCCGTAACGGTGTTCGTTACACACATGGACTGTCACCCCTGTGGAGAGAGGCCAAGTGAGTGCTGGAGCAGGGGAGCAGGGCTCTTGGAACCCAAGGCAGGCATCCTCTCTGGGACTCAGTGTCCCCGCTGTGGGGTTGGAGGGAGAAAAGGCTTGACTCAAACAATATCTAAGGGACCTTTCTAGCTGAGATGGTTTATGGCGGTCTAGAGCACCAGCTGGGTGCTGGGGGATGGTGGTGAGCAGGACAGAGCCCTGTCCCTGGGGGATCATGGGGAGACAGGAGAAAGCAAACTCCCATCTGACCACAGCCTCCGGGCCAGTCCATTGCTCTACCCGCTAAAGCTCCCCACCTCCCGGCCTTGCCACCCCGCTGGATCCTGCACCATCACTTCGTGCCCAGACCCCTGTGAGTGACCCCACACTCTCTCCTGCCTCCCCCCGCCAACCAGAGCGGCCTTTTCTATTTCTTCAATATTTGTCACCTTTACTGCAATTACTTCTTTCCCCTTTATCTCCGATAGACTGTGAACGCTTGAGTGGCAGGCACACAGAATCCGCCTGAAAGTCAACCCCACGCCCAGCATGGAGCACAGAACCTGGGCCAGCGTGGGGACTCAGTAGCTGGGTGCTGGGCGCCTGGGTGACGGGGAGGAAACCCCCTGCAAACCGCTGACCGGGTAACAGCGGCTGACACCCGAAGAGGTGGTAGCAATGACGAAAACACGGCAACACTTCTGCTGCTTCTCACGGGTTCTCCATGGGTTTGTTTTTCCTTCCCTCGCCTTTTGCACTTGATACGATTTTTTTTTTGCCTTGCACGTCTGCAGCAGACTCCACCAACACCTCTTGCACGCAAAAGCCAATGACAGCATGTCCCCCTCTGGCCACTGTGGGCACGCTGCTTGCTCAGGTGCAGCACTCCTGGGTTACATCGTCACGTCTCCTTCTCCCCGAATTGGCCTGTGCGGTCCTCTCAAGACCCTTCTCCCAACACCGGGCGTCTCTGTCTCACTCTCATCTCTGACTCTTCCTCAGGACTGGATTTATCCCGGCAGGGCCCAAACATTTTGCGGTAACTTTCATCTTAAAAATAACGCCAACACCCGAGTGTTCTTTTCAGTGTGTGAAGCCAATCGCGTGATCCTCTGATGGCTGCCCAGTGTTGTCAGGCTGAAGACCGGATGCTGGCCGGTCAGGTCCACACAGGCTGGCCCCCTGCCTACGTTTCCTGCCTCAGCCTCTGCCACGCCTCCCCTCACTTATTATGCTCCTGTCACCTGCCTTCTTACGTTGCCTGCTACCATAGGGCCTTTGCACCTGCTGGTCCTTTGGTCCTGTTGCCTAAAATGCTCTTTCTTGCTCTTGTTAATGCTTTCCCATACTTCAGATCTCAGCCTCAAAGTTCACACCCTCCAGGAAGCCTCCCCTGCCCAGATCTACTCTGGCCTAGGCTCCCTGAGCACGCAGAATCAAGAAGCATTCCTTCCTGTCATGGCTGCGACTGGACACTGATTTGTGTGATCCTTGGACTGACTGGACTGGAAGTTCCAGGAGGGCAGAGACCGCCTGACTTTACTCACCACTGTCTCCCCAGTGCCTGGCACATGGTGGGTGCTCCATAAATATTTGCCTAATGAAGGAATATGTGAAAGTGCCATGATGGGGAGCCAGGAGGACATCTAACCTCCCAGGGCCACGGGCTCAAGAAAGGCTACGACCCAGACAAACAGGAGTTTAACAGGATGGATGGGAGACTGGGGAAGGGCGTGCAAAGCAGAGGGAACAGCATATGCAAAGACCTAGAGGCCTCCAGGGTTGCTCACAGAGAGCCGGTCCTCACCAGCGGCCTGGCAGGCATAGGCGAAGATGATGATATCGTCGAAAGGCCAGGTGTAGTTGGGATGAGGGGGGTAGAAGGCGAGCTGGGCTGTCCCGTTAGCCCGCAAGGACACCAGGAAGGTGGAATGGACCATGGGGACCCGGAAGCAGCCCCGGCGCTGGCGGTTCTTGGTGGGGAAGTAGTCGGCTGTGCGGCGGTAGTAGCCCTGGGGAAAGGGGTTGCTCTGAACTATGATGGGGCCCCTCCATCCCCAGAACACTGCCTCCCCTGCCATGGCCCACAGACCCCGAGGCCTCTGTCCCCAGCCTTACCTGGGGCGTGATCCCACACCAGAAATTGGAGTAGTAGGTCTGGGAGTCCAGCATCGGGGCCACCACAGGCAGCCCCTGCTCTATCAGAAGCCTCAGCGTCTGGTTGTTGGTCAGAATGTTGTCTGTATCTGCAAACTTTTGGGAGAGGGGTATCACAGACCCCAGCCTTGTCTGGGCTGTACCCTTAAGGAGTCACTGAGTGCGATCCCTCTAGACTGCCAGAGACCCTGTATGTCTCCCGGGATCCAATGGCGTCCCGTTAGAGAGTTCTAACCTATAAACCAATAGGTGTATTTCTGGACCAAGGATCTTGTCTGGAGCAATAGCTCTGGGATCGGGTCCAGAGATTCGACCTGAGTTGCTAATCTAAGAGCTTTATTCTAGATCTGACTTAGGGAGTAGAGCCAAAGACCTACGCTGAGTTCTAGTCTGGGGAACGAAGCTCAGTTTATACTCCGGGCTCTAGCCCAAGAACCTAGGCTCAGTATATACCCGGCAATCTGTTTCAGGGATCCAGGCTTCATAGCTAATCTGAGCTCAAGCATAGGGATCCAAGCTCAATGTCCGGTCTGGGTTCTGACCCAGGTTGCTAGCTGAAGGGTCCAGCCTACAGGTAGTTAAGTCACACCGAGATTGCTGTCAGGGACAGATACCACCACCTGTGGGAAACCCCATCCTAGCCAGGCTTTCTTACCAGGATGTAGTCAGCCCCCCAGTCCCTGGCAAAGGTCAGGGCTTCCTGTTTCAACTCCATCAGAAACTGATGCCTTTCTCTGGTCCAGTGCTTGGGCCCCTCTTCATCTGGGTAGGACCTGAGAGGGTAGAGAGATGAGAAGTTCACCAGGGGCAGGTGTCCGTGGTCCCCCTGGCGGCAGGGCAGTGGAGAGAGCCCTGGCCTGGAGGTGGGGGCTTGCGGCTGTCCCTTTTCCTCCCTGGGTGGCAGCTGTTAGCCCTCTTCCCAAGAACCCTTCCCTCCAGTCACCACCTGGGCTCCCCCTCGGGCCTCCAGACCACAGCCGCGTAGTGGTCACCCACAGCGGCCAGCCACTCCTGCAGCATCTGCGTGGTGTTGTCCGTGTTGTGGTCCGTGGCACACCTGGGGATGCGGGAGGAAGAAGGGTGAGGGGGCCCTGCCACCGAAGGGCCAGACCCCGAGGCAGCACTGACCCCTGGAGCACCAACCCCTCCGAGGCTGGACGACGCTTGGGTGCTGCGGGGGGAGGAGGTGTGCTACAGAGTAAGGCAAGCACCCAGGTCCCAGGCACGGGTCTGTGACCCACTGTGTGACCTCAGGCGAGTCCCATTCATCTCTGGACTTCACTTTCTCCCTCTGGAACCAGAAGCTGTCCTGCCTGGCTCATGGGCTGAGACCCCAGAACATGAACGCATTTGAAAGACAAAGCACCTCAGCTTTGAGGACCACACCTGCCACGTGCCCTGGCTACCTTCCTTCCTTACCAGGAGACCACAGATCCGTGCCTCCCCTTGTCTGAGTCAGAACTGGACAGAAGAGCTGCTGCTTCCCTCTGCCAGAAAATTGTAGTAAGGACCAAACCCTCCTCTGAACATCCCTGAGAAGTGCTGATGCGCCTGAGGCTCCACGGCCACAGAGCATAACCTCTCCTCTGCGGAGGGGGCTCCCCAGGCGGGGGGGGGCGCAGAGGGCTTAGCCAAGATCCCAAGTTTTAGGTGATCCTGCCCCTTTAAGCCAATTCCCCAGAAGTGAAGACTAACTACGTGTCAAGTCTCCTAGGGGTGGGAACTAACTAACTCAGACTGTGGTAATTGTGGGCAGCCTCCCCAGGCCCTGGCTCCACCCTCAGCGCAACTTTGGTGTGCCCTGGGGGGTAGTTTGTCAATTCTCTCCAGTTTATCCCCAACCTCAGCCTGGGACTCCTCCCTGTTCTGGCTTCCACACACTGGGGCCGCCGATTCCAGTGAGCCCTGTGGGGATGCCTGGGGGAGAGACTCTAGGAAAGGGGCTCTCTGCCCTGCGCAGGCAGGACCCAGACCCTCCACAGAGAGGGTGAAACCAGCCCGGGGGAAGGAGGAGCAGGTCTGACGCCACGCTGCAGAGCAGCATGGAGGCAGACAGCACCCTCACCTGCTCCCCAGGCACCCCCAGGCCTGCTGATCTCTGCCACGTGGGGACCCAGGGCAGGGCAGGCCAGCTGTTCCTGCCGGCTCCACTCCAGGTCAAGCCAACCCCAGGGCCCATGGGGGCGTGAGTTTGGGCTCTGAGGCTAGGGCAAGAGGACCCCACTTAAAGCCAGAGGAGGTCCCCAGAGGAGTAAGGGCCGGGGTGGGTGTTCCGGGGTCAACGTAAAGCCTCAGAGGTCAGTCTGCAGGGCCAAGGGGTAAGGGGTCCGGTCCAGGGGCGCAGGGCCCGGCAGGGCCTGTCTGCCAGGGGAGGGGCCTGTCTGGGTGGTGTCTGGACGGAGCAGACGGGGCCATCGGGAGTGGAGCCTATCTGTGGGGCGGGGGGTACATGCCCAGAGGGTGCCAATGCCCGGTCTCTCTCACCAGAGGGCCAGCCTGGCCCGGGGGTAGTCCAGCCGCTCCAGAGCGCCCAGGTAGTGGGGCAGTGAGTGCTCGGCATTGCGGGCCAGGATGGTAAGGACCACGGCGGGCAGCGGCGGCTCCACGACGCCCGCAGCCTGGAGCCATGGCCCCAGCAGGAGCAGCAGCTGAAGCAGCGGGGCGGCGGGGGCGACGGGCATGGCGGGCGCTCGGGCGGCGGCGGCTGCCCCCGGGGCTCAGGCCCGGCGGAGGGGAGTGGGCGGGGCGGCAGGACCGGGGCGGGGCCTGGGGCCAGGGCGGGGCCGAGGCGGCCGCACAAGGACGGCGGGTGGGTGGGAAGCGGACCCCCAAAGACTGGGCTACACCTCCCAACCGCTACGCGCTGATTCTCAAGTGTCCCCTCCTCAACCCTGGGTGGCGGAGGGCCAGGGCCCGGAGACCCGCCCCACGCGCGACCCGGGGGCAGCCCCCTCCCAGCTGGCCGGCGCGGGGGGGAACGGGGGACGAGGGGAGGGTCCGGGGGGACGGCATCCGAGCCGCTCCGGCGCCTGAGAACGCTCCACTCCGAAGCCTGGTGCGTTCAGCCCCCGGAATCCGGCTCTACCGAGCGTCCGACGCCCCCGAGTCCGGATTCCCCGGCCTCGCATCCGACCCTCGGACCTGAGCCGGAACCCCGCGCGGGGCGGGACCGACCGGCCTCAGCCCTCGCCCCGCTCCCCGCTCCCGCCCCGCCCCGCCTCCGCCCCCGGGCGCCCTCTGGCGGAGCCATGCGGAACTTCGCAGACCTGCGCGGTGACAGCCCGGGGCGGGGCGGCGGGGGGCGCGGGCGGGGTCCCCCGGACCTGGGCGCGCCAACCAGCCCCCCGGGGGGGGGGCACGGGCGGGGGTCCCCCGGACCTGGGCGCGCCGTCCAGCTTCGTCCCGAGCCTGGCGTCCTCCGCGTGTTGTCGTCCTCGCCTCCGCCGCCAGCGCCGGCGCTGCTCAGGCCCTTTAAGAGAACAAAGCCCACTCTCAGGCGGAGTGTAGGCCCAGGGGGCACCACGGAGCCCGCACCTTGACCCAGCCCTGTCCAAAGCAGGACAGCCTCCCCCGGGGCAGAATCGGGGTCCTGAGGCCCCTGCTGAGACGAGAAGGGGGCTGCAGCCTCCCTTAAGGAGAGGGCAGAAAGGGAGGGGCCTGAGGGCCCCAGGCCGGTTCCAGCTCAGTAGCTGCTGTGATCCCAGACAGGTCACTTTCCCTGAGCCTCTGGTCCTCATCTGGATGGGTTTGCAAGGATGCCTCGAGAGAATGAACGCACTGGATGCTTCTCTTTGCATGGAGCATGACCCCGGAAAGAGTTGCTGAGGCTGGAAGACAGGACTGGAGAAACCAGGCTCTCCTTCCATTCACCCCCCACGCCCCGCCACCCACCTGGAGGCCTACTTTCCTATGGCAGCTTTGGGTCTCCCTTCTGGCTCTTCCCAGGGTCAGAGAAGAGGGCTAAGCCTGTGCACACTATCTCTGCTGGGAGGGGAGGGGTGGGGAACCAGCAAGGAGTGGACATGCCTGGTGACGGGGCAGCCTGTGGGGGCATCGAACCCGGGAGTCCTGGTCTTCAGCGCAGCTCCTAAGCTTCCACCAGACCCCAGTCAAAGCTTCGGTGGCCAGCGGCCCTGCAATGAAAGGTCTGAGGCCTCGTGGAAGAGTCCCTTCCCTTGCATGGTAGCCTCTGGCCGGAAGGCACTCCCATCCCCAGAATGGGGATTCCATTTCTAAAGCCGAGTGGTATGCCCCACCTGACCTGTCCCGGAGTCATCCCAGAGCCTCTGCCCATCCTATTGGTCACAGGAGCTTCCAAATTCTTCTCTGGCCTCAAGTCTTCTTCCTCCTCCTTCTCCTCTGAATGCATTCACGCCTCCCACTGTCCCCTTCCTCCTTCCCCAGTCCATCCAGTAACCCATCCTGTCACTGACTCCCTTGCCTGTGGGGTCTTCCATCATCCCTGCCCAGGAAAACCCTATAACCATCTTGCTTTCTGGCGTGGTGGGACTACTGCAGACTCAGGATTTCCACTCTCAACTGGACTCTCGCCAGGCCCAACGGGCCAGTTTCCCTTGCTCCTGCCCCCTCTCCTCTGTGGCATGTCACAGTTTCTCCAGCAAGGATCTCCCTGCTACTTTTTGGAGAAAAGAGAAGCCCTCACCTGGGAGCTCTCATTTCCAGCGTCCAAGCCTCCATCCCCTGCCGCCAAGCCTGCCTCAGCTCTCACTGCCTGGTATAAAGGAAGAGGCGCCCCCTCCTCACCCTCCTCACGATGGAACAGCTCCAAAGCTCCAAGTTCCATCCCCTTGCCCTTCCTGGATCATCAGCCTCCCTCTCTTCTGGGTGCTTCCTTTGACATTCCAAAGGACTTAAATCTCCCCCAGCTTAAAATAAGAAAACAGCCACAGCCTTATCTCTCTCTCCCTCCCGAACCTCTGGAAGGGGGACCTGTGCTTTGCTCCAGGTCTCCCTTCCTCATCTCCCATCATGGCTTGACACACACCAAGGCTGCTCTAGCCAAACTGCTCCTGCCAAGACCAGGGTCCTCCTGGCCACTCCCCTCAACGCTCATTGCCTCCTCATCCAGAGGGCTCCCTTCAGCACCTGACCACATGGGCCACTCTGTCTTTCTGGAAAACCGACAAGAGTCTCCACTGCCCATCTGGACCCCAATTCCACCTGTTTGTGTTTTTTGGGTTTTTTTTTTAGGTAAACTCTACACCCAGTGTGGGGCTCAACCTCACGACCCTGAGATCAAGAGTCACATGTTCAAAACAGAACCCCAACCTTTCCCCCAAACATGCTCCCCCTCTGTTGGCCTCCCCAGTCTAGAGAACGGCACCTCGGCCACCAGGTCCCTCGAGCTGGAGAGCCCGGTGTCCCCAGATGACAGGTCCCTCTTTCAGCCCACTCCATCACCGCGTCCGGGCAGGCCCGCCTCCTCAGTATCTCTTGCACGTGGCCACCTCTTTCCGTCCACACTGCCACTCGCCTGGCTCAGGGCACCAGCACCACTCACGGGGCCCACAGCGTCTCCCAGAGACCTGCCCCCCACGTGTTCGCCCTAGAAACCATTCTGCCCTCAGCCACCCTTTGGAAATGTCTGCGGTTCACACCCTTCAGGGACTGCCCACTGGGAGCACCCACTGGGAGCACCATTGCACCTGCAATGGCCCACGTGACACTTCTCCAACTCCTCTCACCTCCCCTGCCCCTTCCTTCCCCTTTAATCTCCTGCTCAAGCCAATTTGGACAAGGTACGATTTCCCAAACACTCCATGCTTTAGGACCGTCCCACATCCTTTTTGGTTTTTTTGCTTCCTTCTGCCTGAACTGGTCTTTCTGGCCAACTCCTACAGGCCCTCCAGTGTCAGCTGAAACTTGCTTCTCATGGAAAGCCTTCCGCATGTCATGTCGGGGGCACATACCCTGACACGGCATCCTATATAATCCCATTCATTCGGCAAGTATTTATTGAGCACATACTCACTACATGTGCAGGTAGAAGGTGCACCTCTGCCTCTAGGGTGCTCACATTCCCGTGAGGGGACAGACAGGAAGCAAGCAAGGAAGCTGATAAATTAAGAGATAGTTTCCAAGAAGGGTAAATGCTGCAAACGACATAAAACCAGTTAAGAAGAACAGAACACTGCTGGGGGTGGGAGGCAACATTGAGTAGAGGAGTCAGTGGATCTCTTTCGGGGTGTAAGCGAGCCAGCCAAGGGCAGTTCTGGGGGAAGAGTGTTCCACGGGGAGGGAACAGGTCGGGCCAAGGTCCTGCGGGGGATGCAAGCCAGGAAGCCAGTGGTTGGAGCCCAGTGAGCAAGGGGAGGGTGGAAAGAGGTGAGGATCAACTAGGGCCTTGAAGCTGAGACAGGAGTTTGGATACTTTTTTTTAAAAGATTTTATTTATTTATTTGACAGAGAGAGACACAGTGAGAGAGGGAACACAAGCAGGGGGAATGGGAGAGGGAGAAGCAGGCTTCCCGCTGAGCAGGGAGCCCGATGCAGATGCGGGCCTCGATCCCAGGACCCTGGGATGAACTGAGCCGAAGGCAGACGCTTAACGACTGAGCCACCCAGGCGCCCCTGGATATTTTTTTTTAAAGCGCAATAGGAAGACACTGGAGGGGGTAAGCAGAGAAGTGATGTGATTTGTCTTAAAAAGATTGCTCTGGGGGCGCCTGGGTGGCTCAGTGGGTTAAGCATCTGCCTTCCGCTTGGGCCATGATCCTAGGGTCCTGGGATCAAGCCCCACATCTGGCTCCCTGCTCAGCAGGGAGCCTGCTCCTCCCTCTCCCTCTGCCTGCCTCTCCCCCTGCTTGTGCTCTCTGGCTCTCTGTCAAATAAATAAATAAAATCTTAAAAAAAAAAAAAAAAAGATGGGCGCCTGGGTGGCTCAGTTGGTTGAGCAACTGCCTTCGGCTCAGGTCATGATCCTGGAGTCCTGGGATCGAGTCCCGCATCGGGCTCCCTGCTCGGCAGGGAGTCTGCTTCTCCCTCTGACTCTCCCCCTGCTTGTTTCCCCCCCCCCCCTGTTTTTTTTTTTTCAAAAAAAAAAAAAAAAGAAATATGGTAGAAAAAAAAAGTATGGTGGGTCACTGAGGTGGGCTGATCATGCACCTGTGCTGCCATTTCCACTCACTTTTCACCCCAAAATATAATAATAGGACATACTCTACGGAGGTAATATTGGGCCAAATTCACAGAAACGCTGAAGCGGGGTTGTCGGAACATGGTCCCTGGACCAGCCAGCATCAGCCTCACCTGGAAATTGTTAGAAATGCAAATTCCTAGGCCCCTCCCCACACCTAGTGAATCAGAAGCTGTGGGAGTGGAGGTTAAACCAATAAGGCTTCCAGGTGATTGTGAGGCAGGCTAGTTTGAAGCCGCTGTTCTCTGGGACCTATGGCCTCATTCTCCAGGCCATGTAGATTACATGCCTGGGAAAAAATGATGGTTTGGGCCCATCTGGCTGAATAGGTCCAGACCACCCCTGAACCATCACCTAACTAGGCTCTGGGTCACCCCCACCCCACCCAAAACAGCATCTTCACTCCCATCCCTCAGCCATTGTGGTTCTGGCCAGAGCCAGAGGGTGGCGCCAGCACCCCAGGCTTTCGTCTGGCTTCGGGAGCTAGAGACCCAGGAAGAATTATCCCCCTCCCCTCCACCTTCTCCC